ACAAATCCAGCATTAAGACGCTTTTAACTAAAATACCATATTTCATAAGAGTCCATAATAAGTCCATAAGTCTGTCTCCTGTTGTCTCTCGCATCAAAATCCAGCCACATATTGTTTAGAGCTGTTTTGGACTGTAAACAGTGCTTAATTGCAATTAATTAGACATGCTGTTTGATTATTAAGATTTAATTTAATCTTTAATAATGGACTCCCGGAAATAGAATTTTGGAAAAAATTAAATAAAATGGATTTCATAGGGCCCTAAAAATATAATCTTTGTATTTTTTTTTGTTAAATTGTGTAAGTTTGAATGATTTCAATTAATTAGACGTGCTTTTTTATTATTATGATTTAATTTAACCATTAAAACAAATTCAAGAAAAAAAATGTAATACAGGAAACCTCAAATAGAAAAAAATGGAATTTGGGAAAAAAATTTAATGGATTTCATAGCGCCCTAAAAATACACATTTTGATAAACTGTTAATAAATTGTGCAAGTTTCATGATTTAAATGAAATATGCATGCTTTCTGATTCCTAAAATTCAACCATTAAAACGGAGTTTTGGAAAATTAAACGACAAAAACATGACTTTGTAAAATATAATAAAGCAATAAGCCCCAAGAAGCCGTGGTTTACAGTGGAGTTATAACAGCTTCGCGTCGTGCCTAACAACGCCCCTTAGCTGTAATAAATTCACTGTAAACCACGGCTTCACGGGGCTTATTGCTTTTATAAAACGGTTATTCACATATACGTAGTAAGGTTTCACAAAATAAAACAGCAAATAAAGTGTAATGATATTAATAAAAACAGTATTCTTCCACCAAACAATGTAGTTCCTCAGAAACAGTTGTGGTTGCAACAAAGTGGTTGCCGAGCAACACACAGAAGTAAACAAAGGTGAATGTTACTTTGTAGAGTCATTTACAACAGCTTCGAACGTGGCTCAGCCAATCAGAATCAAGCACCGGAACTATCTGTTTTTTAAAACTGATTTTATATGGGACGACACACATACAGACATTCATTCAGCAATCAAAAATCAAACAGCTTCAGTCTTTCAAAAGAAAACCCCTGCATATTTGGGCACATAACAAGTGTGTCTGTATAAATAGACTTGTGCAGATTTCTCTCCTGATTCAGAACACTTTTTCACTGGAGGAAGCGTTATTATGGATTATAGACTCATATTTGAGTTAAAAACGTCTTAATGCTGGATTTGTCTCAGCTTTTGTCTTCTCCAGATGTTAACTGATGGACTGGAGTGCTGTGGATTACTTGTGGATTATTGTGATGTTTTTATCAACTCTCGTTCTGACGGCACCCATTCACTTGCAGTGAGACACTGATGCAATGCTACATTTCTCCAAATCTGACGAAGAAACAAACTCATCCTGATCTCGGCTGGCCTGAGGTTTAGTAACCTGTTTAGTGAACAGGTTAGCGCAGAGACTCACCATCTGCGTGTGGTTGGGGAAGAAGGTTTGCTCGTTGAGCGGGAACTTGTCTGGACCCAGAGTCTGGTAGAGCTTGATCATGTGAGAGAACTGCACAATCCAGACACACAAACACATGCATGATTCATTATTATAAAGAACACAGCGTTTGTCTTCGTCCTCTTCCATCAAAACTCACTCAACCTCAAAAATGAGTTTACTTGAAGGCCATATAACGCATTAAAGAAGTACTGTAACGTGATATCATGTGAGTTCAGTCCCAAACACACTGATAACGCAGTATGTTTAGTCTGAGTTTAGTCTGAGTTTGCACTGAAACAACCCACAGAGTGAATCACAAAATCATGCTTTTCCGTTTAGACCTGTTTTATTCACTTTGTCTGAAAGCAAGTAATACTTCTAATAGAAAAACTAAACTAAAATAAAAATGAGTTTGGCTTGTGGTATACATACTAACTAGCTTTACTGACTGCAGAAATTACTGTGGGTTTTATTCATAACTCAATTGTGTTTGTGAAGATATGATGCATATTTTACAATCACAATAATCATTAAGATCTTTTAAAGTTGTCTTTATTTATAGCAAGTAAGCATCGACTAACAAAGTATTTTAGTTTGATCAGATTATAGCTTTTATTTATGATTAAATTAACTTATAAAAACAAACAATTATAATATCGACCTAAAGAAAAAACATTGTTTAAGCAGTGTTGTTTTAGTATGATTACATTATTGGTAATATGCTTTTTTTTGTGTGTAAATTTTGTTTTCATTTTAAAGTTTTACTAATTTAGTTGTGTGCTTTTGTCATTTTTTTTTTTTATATATGTCTATATAGTTCTTAATCATTTTTATTTCAGTTTTAGTTTTAGTTATAATGGTACTAAAGATAAGAACTGATGCAACTAGTGAAACTAAAACAAGTACAATTAAATAAAATAAGTTTATAGAGATGTTTATATTTTATTATTTGTTATATCTTGTTTAATATATTTTTTTCAAGCAATAAAATGTTTATGGTTTTAGTTTTAATTTTTGTTTTAGCTATCTATAACAATAGAATGATGTAATCAAGTATGGTTTTTATAATAATAATCTTTTTACATTGTAACAATGTTTTTGTCTTTGGGAAAATAAATAGTTTGGGTTAATATTAAAGCAGAATTTGAGGTTTAAACCAAAACATAAATACAATTTGTGACCCTGGAGCACAAAACCAGTCATAAGGTTCCATTTTTTAAAATTGAGATTTATGCATCATCTGAAGCTGAATAAATAAGCTTTCCATTGATGTGTGGTTTGTTAGGATAGGACAATATTTGAAAATCTGGAATCTGAGGGTGCAAAAAAATCTAAATATTGAGAAAATCATCTTTAAAGTTGTTCAAATGAAGTTCTTAGCAATGCATATTACTAATCAAAAATTAAGTTTTGATATATTTACGGTAGGAAATTTACAAAATATCTTCATGGAACATGATCTTTACTTAATATCCTAATGATTTTTGGCATAAAAGATAAATGTATAATTTTGACCCATACAATGTATTGTTGGCTATTGCTACAAATATACCCCAGCGACTTAACACTGCTTTTGTGCTGCAGGGTCACATATGAGAAAAACTAATGCGTTTGGTATTATTTTTATTAGTTTTATCTTTCAGCGTGTGAATCAGTCGAGCATCACTAATAACAGACTCAGACTGACTGATGTTTGTGCACTAGTGAGGGGTTCAGACTCGTTCGACGCACCACCCAGGGTTTGCTGCAGAAGCTGTAGATGGAGAAGAGCGAGTTAACGCTGGGAACGGAGCCGTAGTTCAAGCCGATCACCAGGTTCCTGAAGTCCTCTCCCGGGGTCATGCTGTAGGCGTGCTGACGAACCAGCACGAAATCTGGCCTGAACGATCTGCAGAGACACAGAACTTCATTACCCAGCAGAACCTCTGTGTGTTTTTTAAGCTCAAATTTAAGACTCTTTAAGACCTTTTTTAAAGTGCCCCTATCACACTCTCTCTCTCTCTCACACACACACACACTCTCTCTCTCACACACACACACACACACAGACACACGTTCACATTCTCTCCAGTCATCAGAATACTTTGGCATCTTTACGTTCCCTCATAAAACACTCGCACGTGTGCATCGAAGAACATCACGCTCTTCTGTCTTTGTTTAGCACACATTCAGTTCCCAACATCTGCTAAAAATCATCTTTCAAGCAAGAGGCATTTACACTGCTTTAGAGATTCAGACTTGCACAGATGTGTCTTTAATATCAGTGTTTTTGAATTGTTTTAAGTATAATCAAGTGAATAATCTGAAGGACAAAACACTGATATTAAAGACACAGTCTATGAAAACAAGTCTTGAGATTGTATGTAGTGCTGCTTCTCAATCTTATTCAAGGACTTCTAGATAGTTTAGCTGGAAAAGCACAGAATTTTTTTGTGCATTATAGTATAAAAGTTTGGGGTTAATATGATTTTGTAAAATAACTCTTTTATTGATCAAAAGTGGCAGTAAAGTCATTTATAATGTTGCATAGGTTTCCCGGTTTCTAATAAATGCTGTTCTTTTGAACTTACTATTCATCTGTGAACCCTGAAAAATCACGGTTTTCACAGAAATATTAATGTTTTCAACAGAAATGTTTCTGGAGCAGCAAATCAGCATATTAGAATGATTTCTGAAGATCATGTGACACTGAAGACTGGAGTAATGATGCTGAAAATACAGCTGCGCATCACAGAAATAAATTACAGTTTAACAGATATTCACATAGAAAACAGCTGTTTTAAATCACAATAATATTTCAAATTTTTTACTGTATTTGTGATTAAATAAACACAGCTTTGGTGAGCAGAAGAGACTGTAAGTGTGTGTGAGTGTGTGTTTCTTAAAGGGCCGGTTCAGCTCATCCGCACACACACTATTAATAGTGGCTTGTATTAAGCTAGTATAAGATGTCTGCTTAAGTGAGGCAGGTATAAATAATCTCCATGTGTTTGGCAGATGATGGACATGTGAAGCCGAGAGTGTGAGAGGCCCAGACACTGCAGGCTCCATTACAGCCACGCTGTTTTCATTAAGATGAGCTTTATTAATACAGCAGCTCAAATCACACGCTTTATTTGCTCTTCAGCTGCACACAGAAAACCAGCCACTGCTTCAGACTTGAATCACATATAACCCACATTACACACTGAGTGATGGAGAAAGGGTTGTGTTTCTAGTCTGAGCACACATTAACGCTGAAAACACCACACGCAAACGTAAATTTTATAAAGAAAATAAAATGTATACAAACCTTATAGACGTTAAAAACAACAACAAAATCTAATAAAAATGATCAATACACAACAAGACTATTATAACCTTACACAAAGTTAAAATGAAAACAGAAAATATATTTAAACTCTATTAAACAAACGTCCGAGATATGGATGAGATCAGAGTAAAAAACAGTGAAAAATGAAAAGTGCAAAAATAATGAGTGTTAATAACAGGTTTCCATTGGTCGGTCAAACAGACAGTCCCGCCCCCAAACTCACGCCATTGGTCAGTTCCTCCAGCTGAACTTCAACACTTTGATCATTTTAAAAAGTACAGCTATACACCAGCATTTTGAAGGCACTAAATCACAGATATGAATTATAGATTTCTACAGTCCATAACCACAAAATCAACAACAATATAGTCTGATCTGATCAAATGCATTATTATGATGCCAGCGTCAGACATTTACTTCATTAAGGGACAATATTAACCACTGGAAATGACTTTCAGAGGCGTTTTTATATTTATAAAACACCAAAATAATAAACATCAAAAGCTTTTTCAAACCAAAAAATTATGACTTTGTTACATACGTAAATACAGTAACCCGAAAGTTTGGGATTGGTACGATTATGCATTTATTTGATCAAAAATACAGTGAAAATTGTGAAATATTATTCTAATGTAAAACAGCTGTTTTCTATGTGAATATCTGTTAAACTGTAATTTATTTCTGTGATGCACAGCTGTATTTTCAGCATCATTACGCCAGTCTTCAGTGTCACATGATCTTCAGAAATCATAATAATATGCTGATTTGCTGCTCGAGAAACATTTCTGATTATTATCAATGTTGAGAACAGTAGTGCTGCCATAACTGAGTCTCTAGAGGACACACGCACCGGACGCTCTGATTGGCCGCTGGCTCGGAGGCGGAGCTCTGATTGGCCGGTGGCGTGGAGCGAGAGCGCGGGATTGGTGCCAGACTCAAGTTGCCATGGTTACGCTCCGGAAACGCATTCAGGCCGCTGGGAAAGAAAACAGGAGAAAGTCCAAGAGACAAACAGCCTTCCTTCCTCTGTAACTCACGTCTGGAGGACAAACGCCGCGCTGATCATCACTTCTCATGCAGATGTTAGAGCAAATCTAAAATTCTAATTACTCTTCATGATATATTCATTTATATTAAATAAGGCCCTTAACTGGCTGAAAGGCAATTAAAAAAATATCTGCTCAGTAATTTTATAGAAATTCAACATACACTACTGTTCAAAAGTGTTTTGGTGCTTTTATTCATCTGTGATGCATTAAATTGATCAAAAGTGGCAGTAAAGACATTTATAATGATACAAAACTTTTCTATTTCAAATAAATGCTGTTCTTTTTAACTTTCTATTCATCTGTGAATCCTGAAAAATATAATGTGTCACGGTTTCCACAAAAATATGAATGTTTTCAACATTGATAATAATCAGAAATGTTTCTTGAGCAGCAAATCAGCATATTATACTGATTTCTGAAGATCATGTGACACTGAAGACTGGAGTAATGATGCTGAAAATACAGCTGCGCATCACAGAAATACATTACAGTTTAACAGAGATTCACATAGAAAACGGCTGTTTTGCATTAGAATAATATTTCACAATTTTTACTGTATTTTAATCAAATAAATGTAGCTTTGGTTAGCAGAAAAGACTCTTTCCGAAACATTAAACTTTTCAACATTAGTCTAAGACCAATGGTTGTCATTCCAAACAGTCTCTCTCTCTCACGAACACACACACACTCTCTTTCATTCACTCACACACACACACACACACACACACGAGCACGCGCTCTGCTCTGGCGTCGTGATCCTATCTGGAATCTGGCAGGTATTTTTGGAGCTGAAGCTAATGTGTGTCATTAGGGTGAAGAATGCAAGGTGCCTTTCACCCGATCACATGACCAGCGCTCATAAACACAGAAACACACACACACACAGACACACACAACCACACACACACACACACACACACTCACACACACACCGAACAAGATTGACTCGAACTAGACATCAATTAATGCACGCGTGTCACCTTATCCACATATGCACAGATTCCTTTTTGCTTGAGCAATTTATGATATATTAATGCAGAACAGAACATTTTTATTCACAAACATGTCTGTATTTGTACAAATCGCTGCACAATCATTTAATCCTGAATTCCACAGACTCAAATTGAAAGGCATTTGTTTGTGGTTAGTAAGATACATGTGTAAAATTTATGCAGTACATGGATAATTGTGCGTGCATCTATTAATCATTTAGAGTCTAATATCATCCCATATATATAAGGTTTGGTCGTGAATCTCCTTGAGTCACTTTGCTCATGTTCACAGCTGCACATTTGAACGAAAGGAAGCGGAGCTCTTCAAACCCTCATGAGCCTCAGTCAGTCCTTCAGGCCTGGAAACAACTGATGAATCACTGACAACAGATGGACAGACACACAGACACTCGCACACACTCACACACACACGCACACACAGACACACACACTCACACACACACACAGACACACACACACACACTCACACA